CTGCCTCTCCTGCCGGCATAGTTGTCTGCCTTGTACAAAAGTCGCTTGGTGACTTTAGCACTGATTTATGGCCGTGCCCCCCTCCCATCCCCCCCTTTTTTTCCTCGCCCTTCTGGGGAGAGCAGCTCCGCTTTGAAGGGTTTGCGTGTGCGAATCTGGTGAGTTTTCTTCCCTCCCGGCGAAATGGAGTCAGTTAAACATTCCTGTAGAGCTCTAGCCGTGAGGAAGAGGGAGGGGATTTTGCCTGGTTTTAGTCGGGACAATCCGTCTTTTGTGTGCGTATGGATGAGTGAGACACCTATGGAGCCTTTTTCCAGATGTGTTTAAGACGGAGGAATCTAGGAGTCTTTGTGCATGAAATTTGTTTAACTTATAAGTTTCTGTCTCTCTGGGAGTGCCCTGAGAAAGTGAAGAAGCAAGTGCTTGCAAATTCCTGGAACTTATTACTATTTAAAATATGTTTGCATAGCTTTGGGGTTCCCCCCCCACCCCTCCTATAGAGAGAGGCAAGCCTGGGGTAGGTGGAAAAGCTTGGAGCCCTGAATGTCCCCCTTCCCCCTCCCGGTTTTGCTCAGGCTCTTATCAGCTATGCAAGCTGTAAGGTATGACTTTGCTCTCTTTGAAGCTGTATAACTTTTGGTCAGGCTGAGAGAACTTTCCAGAATTAGCCTGTATGAGAGACTGAAAATAAACATAACTCCTAAATCTGCTTGCTCTGTTCACTTCATATTCCTATATATATTTTTGCTCTAGCTCTCCTTCCCTTCCCCTCTGCTGGAAGGAAGTTGGCCATAGAAGTTGAGTGTGCATTGAGGAAGTACAGATGCAATGTGAGACCACAGTGCAGGACTAGTTTTTACTAGGGCTCCCTGAGTGGCTTGAGCCACGACTGCTTTCTGCCAACAGAAGTTGGAAAACAACACTCAGCACTCTCTTTCCTTGTATTTCTTCTCCTTTCTTTACCCCAGCAAAGGAGCTGAGCTTTTGGAGCTGAGTCTTGGGGCAGGGAACTCAAAGTTGCTTGGGTGTACAACAGGTGGCTGACCCACCAAGGGACCTTCTAAGAGGTGAGCCTAGTTGGCTGAGGGAGGTGGTGCTTGGTTCTGCCCTGGTATATATTCCTGCTCTCTGCTAGAGAGAAATAGTGCGTGAAGCAACTAGGTACTCACACTGTGTCCTTTAGGGACACCTTTCTTCATAGCGCCACTTGAGTCATCTAAATGCTTTTGCAGCAGGAAGAAAATCTCTCCCCTCAGGGAAAATGTGAGGAGGTGGATTTGAGATTAGGTTTGTCTGTGTGATGCTCCTTCTTCACTATGTTTTACAAACAGTGCCACAGGACTTGTGTAAAATGTGTGTTCCTGGTAAAGCTTAGATGGTATTGGCAGTGGGGAGAAGCTCAGTAAGGCCAGCCTTCCTCAGCCTCTCTGGTGTGTGCGGGGGTGGACAGACAAACTGAAGTGAGGATGAGCAGGGGCAGCTGCTGGATGGCGACAGCTCTGAGCAGAAAGAGCCTCAAGTCTGACAGCATACAGAGAAATGAGCTGTTTTGGGATCGGGGGGGATAGCAGCTGCTGGTAGTGAAGCCAGCACTTCTTTTGTGAAGCAGCTGATGTCCCCAGATTGTCTCTGCATTGACTAATCCCAGTACAGATCATGATCAGAAGTGACTGTCACTGTGATGTTCAGATCACAGGCAGGCAAGAGCATAAGACGGCTAATTCCACTAGAACCACTACAAAGCGGTTCATTACTCCATAGTGAAACAGGCTGGCACAAGGTAGAGTAAGTGCCTCCATCAGTTGGAGTCTCTAAAGAAATGCTGGAGGCCTTCTTGAGAGAGAGAATGACTGTGTAGCTTGCATGGAAGCTGCAGGCTTGAGGGAGAGAGTCTGTTCTTCTGATGTGCAAGTCTGATCCCCTGGTGCTCTGAGGGATTCAGGACAGAGCTGGCTAATTACCCTTCTGCCTTGGCTCGTGTTCCACACTAGGTCATCCAGGCTATGCTGAGCACTGATCTTTGGCTGCTGCTCACTATTGCAGCCTTTTCTTATGCTCTCACTAGCCCTGCACAATTTGTCAAGCTGTGTGTAACTCGCCAGCCCTGCACAAAGGAAACAAAAAGTGCAGCAATGTGGACTTAACGTTAGTTTATGTCTTCACACACTTGCAATCTGGAATATTTGTTACAGGTAGCTGCATCTTGCTGTCCTAAACAGAGTACTTGGAAATGGGTGTGCAGGTCTCGGCAGCAATGGGTGAATTAGCGGATGTTTGTGGCGCCAAGGCTGTCCCAGCAGCTGTTATTGTCTATGTGAGAGAGGTTGGCATTGTGGAAGGATGCAGGCTTGAACGTGCCAACTTGAAATGCTGGCACGGAGCCCCTGTGCTGGCGGAAGCACTTTTGTGCCTGGGTGTTAGGAGGGCTATGGGCATGCCAGAGGTTACAACAAAGCATCTGGTTTCATGGAGATTTTTAGTACAGATGAGTTTTCTGGCATGGATTCCAGCACTGCAGGAATCCTAGAAATGTGGCTCTTGTCATGAGACCCATGGCTCCTGTGACGGCTGGCTTGGTGGGGCTGTCCGCTGGCTATGAGTTTGGTGGTGGAGAAGAGGGAGGATTTGCAAGCCTGCCTGTCCTAAGTGGAGTACTTACCTCCCGCACATGCTCAGCTCAGCTATTCTTGCATCCCCACAGGCTGTTCTTGCACACAACTGGGCTGCAGCTGCATCACTTACTGTTCTGCTGTGCCTGAACTGAGCGCTGTCTGCAGTAGCGTTCACTGTACAGATTGCAAGCAAAAGGGATTGATTCGAAGGTGCTGTGCGCACAGGAGAGGCTGGCGGGGGGGAGGGGAACAGCTCCAGAAGTGTTGGCCAGACATCTAAGAATTGCTTCCTGGTGGAGACAGAGCACGTGGCTGGCTCAGCCAGTGAGGGGCAGAGGGAGCCTGTGTCACTGACTCCAGTGACAGGAAGGAGAGCAAGGCACAGGGGCCAGCAAGATCGCAGACGGCTGTGCCAGGGAACGTGACGTCAGGGAGCCCCTTAGCCTGCGTTTCGTTCTGCTTCTGTTGCAGCAGCCTGCGCTCCCCTGGCGTGCCAGGGGCTCGAGGTAAAGGGGCTGCGATGGAGGAGGCAGGTGGCATGCCATGGTTGGAAGGGTTGAGGAGGATGTTACCAGGGATATCACAGGATGAGGCCAGGAGGAAACAGGTGGCACTGTCAGGCAAGTGGGGGAGTGGAAATACTAATTCCACTCTTGAGACAGTGTATGTGAGGGTGACCTCCTTAAGGTGTATGGAGCCAGGTGTGCAACTCAGGCTGGCTCAGCAGATGACTTTCTAGTGACTAGCTTCATTCCTCCCCTGCATATGCATGGGGATTTGTCATTCTGTGGAGAGCTTAACTTTCTTTATGGCAATGTGTGGCTGGCAAGGACTTCTCTGTGGTCAGTGCTGTACTGAGTAGAGATGATAAGGTGTCCTGGTTCAGTGGAGCTGTCTGAAGTTTGTTCGTTCTTTTTCCTGTGCTGGTCCTGGAAGTACTGTTTTGCTCAGGCCCCTTAGTCTCTGCCCTGATTATAAGCTCCTGTATCCCTCTGTTTCATGTATTCCTGTGTATTTATTTCCGCTCTGCCCTGAAGATGACTTCATCTGTTTCTTTTCTCATTTTTCCCACCAAGTGCTGAGAAGATGACTTCCTCAGGTGCCCCAGGGACCCGCATGACATCCACAGTCAGTATCAACATTTCTACCCCATCCTTCTACAACCCACAGAAGAAGTTTGCGCCTGTGGTTGCCCCAAAACCCAAGGTGAACCCCTTCAAGACTGGGGGTGCGTCAGAGTCGTCATTGCCACAGCCTCCTGGAGCTGGTGCCCAGCGTGCTCAGATGGGAAAGGTGGGGGAAATTCCATCAGCATCTACATCCATGCTGGCAGAAGGTAGGTGAGATCTGCCATGACAGATAATGGAAGATAGTTTTGTTGTAGATGCTAGCAGGGTCTAGAGTGAGATACAAGGAATGTGAAGTGGGCAAAATAATTCCAATAATTTGGTCTCAAAATACATAGTGTCTCCATTAGGGAAGGAGCAGGGAAGGTGATTCTGTATTACACTGGTGTTTTAATAAGGCTGGAGGAATGAAATGGATTTTTAGTGGTATTCCCTAAGTGTACAGTTGTGCAACTGCAGTCAGATTCTGGCCAGCATGTCTGAGAGCAAATATGTTGCAGGGAAGTTGTTCCCTGGTGGTGATGAATCACACTGTTCCCTTTCTTGTTGATTCATCTCAGCATGAGTTGGTTGTCTCTGACTGTAGAGATCCTCTTCTGCGCTTGCCATCTTCGCTGCTGGTGGTGGGGAGGAAGAAATAATTGCATGAAAAGAGGGTGGAAGCTATCACAAATGTGAAGTCTCACTTCCTGTTTATGTAGTTTGGGTTGGGTGTGTTTTCCTATGTAGAGGGACTTCTTGCTTTAGCTGCCTTTTTTAATATATATTCCCTTTTTTGACCTCAAAGGAGCAGAAGGCTCCTGGTGGCATAGCCACATGGTTGGAATAAGTCAGCATAGGACCGCTGGAGAGCTCAGTAAGGGCCTGTTGGTCATGTTTAATGCTGCATGTTACCCTAGGATCCTATCAGGGAGCATCTCAGCCAGAACAGATATGTTCAGATAGTGGTAACTATCTCTTTCACTGTCTAGCATAGACCATACAACACTAATGTTTGACAGGTTAGTGTGATAAATTAGTGGGCAGCTGATCTGATGTTAGGAAGGCTGGTCCTGCACTCAGAGGAGGCAAATGATTAAGCTGTTGTTTCCATTGCACAAGTCACTTATGTGTTAGTGCCTCTGTCTCCTAGAATTGCACAAGTGCTAACTTGGATGACCTTTCTATTATGTGCGTTCAGCTAGAATCTTGTGTCTGTAATCCAAGGTCTCACCTTAGGTTTTACTAGTATAGGTGTGGGGGTTAGAGATGTGTGGGTGGGAAGGTCTCAAATTGGCACAAATACATTAGCTGAGGGACTAAACTAGGTTAATGGAAGCTGTTAAAAATTATTTTATTTAATATGTAGCGTGGGTGAAGGATTGGGTTTTGTTGCCCCACTCCTCCATCCTCCTGTAAAGCGTATTAAGGAGGAACTGACTTGAGGGAGATCAACTTAAGCCAAACAGTAGTTTTGCTATGTGCACCATTGAGTAAGGGCTGCCAGCAAAGCTGTACTGGCAAAACATCTTAAATATAGATAAAACCAAAACTCAGTCATGTGATGACAAATACATCTGATACTCTTTGATCCTTCTCTGCCCTTCCTATTCTGCTCCAAAACCAAATAGTAGTAAAATGTAAAGCCATAGCAATTGGTCTCTTTGTATTAAATGACAGGATGGCAGAGTTAATATCACTGTAGGAATGCCCTGTTTAATACTGATCATTCTATAAATTTGGTACAGTAACTTTATGGGAACTTTTGTGAGTGTGAATAATTCATAAAACAGACTTTTAGTGCATCTGTTTGAAACAATATATCAGCAGATCAGGGTTTCATTTCTGCAATTTTCTTTAACTACCAAATAGACCAAAAAGCAAATGTATACAAACTTGATCCAAAACTGTAGTTTCAAATAAAAAATGCCAGCCTTACTTACCTTTTTTTCCCATAAGCAGAAATTCTGTGAAACAAGAAGAGGCGCTGCATACCAATACAATTTATGCATTCCACTGGCTAATAAGATTTAAGCTTGCATTTTCTGAAATGGGCAATATCTTCTCCTTTAGGTTACAGATGAAGTTCTGTTGAATTCTGTGGTCAACAACTGATTATAAAGATGAGACAATTTGATGTCTGCTGTTAAGAGGCTTACATAGAGCAGCAGTAGGGATGAACTCTCACCCTACTGCTTGTTGGGGCTAGCTGGGAACAGTGGTGTTCCTGTATATCTACGAGAAGGAGTATAGGAGATATCTGCTTGTTTTTAGCATTCTTTGCTGCTTCGATGATAAGAGTCTGAACATCTTCCTCCCATATATGGTGACGGGAAGAGGATTTGCACTTATGTGACTGTGTTGTAGAAAAGATCTTGTCTGTTCCACATTATCTGCAAATACAAATAACTGGAAGCAGTAGAGTTTCCTTCTAGGAGATGGAGGCACTCTGAAGCTTTCTGCCTGCTTAAAAGGGGTCTGAACCATGTCCTAATCTATACCAGGCATGGGGACGTTTTTAGCCTGCAAAAGAGAAGCTGCTTTCATCTTCCAGAAAATGAAGTGGCTTCAAAGATGCCCTATATGCATGAGGGACAGTTGATCTGATTTTCTCCCCCCCCCCCCCCCCGCCCCCCATTTGTTGCTTGCAGTGCTTGGTAACCAGCTGCAAGGTACCAGGTTGTTTCTCTGTAATAATACAGGCTCTTCTGGCCCTTGTGTTGTCAGCTGTCATTCCTTCAAGTGCTGATATGGATTTGGCAATCTGGGCCAGTTACTGGTGAGGGAAGCACATGCTAAAGACCAAAGGATGAGAGGAGGAGTAGGGAAGGGCACATTAAGGCATGCTTCTCAAACCAAGAATGTATACAATGTTAACTGTTCCCAGTGACTAATTGCAGTAGCTGTTTCGGAAAGCTTAAATGATGGCATAGAGCTTGGACAAGGTGAAAGCCAGGCTGCAGTTCTCCTTTATGGGTACTGAGGACCCCTTGTTGTAATACTCTCAACAATCCTTGTGGGATTGACTAAGTAATAAATTATTCAAACCTGTTTTTATTCTCATTCTTCCCTATAGAGCTGCCACTGCCACCTCCTCCCCCTCCAGGAGATGAGGCAAGTCTCTCCTCAAACTCTGCATTTCCTCCACCCCCACCACCTTTTGAAGAGCCTTTTCCCCCAGCCCCAGAAGATGTTTTTCCTTCTCCTCCTCCACCAATGTTTGATGAAGGGCCTGTGAGCAAGGTACCTGCCCCACAGGTGAGTGAGGTCTAGGGAAGTGTAATTTCTTGTAATGCTCTGGATGTGTGAGTTGGGACAGTATCTCAGTACTCTCTAAACTCAGCAGCAGGAAGCAGTGAGATCTGGGAGGGTGCTACCAGTTTACTCACCCCTTCATGGTCTGCACTGTCCTTTTCCATAAGATGCTATGGAGTAAGCTGTGGAAGGTCAGCAGAGACAAATGCTAAGTCCTGCATCTGGGATGGAACTACCCTGTGTCATAGTAGAGGCTGGGGTCAACTGGCCAGGGAACAGCTCTGCAGATAAGGCCTGGTGAACACAAGTTGACCATGAGCCAGCAATGCACCCTTGTGGCAATGCAGGCCAAGCAAAGGCTAGGCTGCATTATCATAAATGTAGTCAGCAGAGCAAGGCAAGTGATTATACCCCTTCTTCCTAGCTAGTGAGGCTGCATCTGGAAGATTGCTTCCAGGTGGGTTTCCCATTATAATACCCACAGAGGAATATTAAACTAGAGGCAGTCCAGCAAAGGGTCACAGAGCTCACTGGGGGGCTGTAGTATGGGATATGGGAGCTGAATTTCTTCAGCCTGCAGAAGAGGAGGCTGAGGTAGGATCCAACTGCAGCCTTCAATACCTAAGGGAGGGTTAAGAGAGAAAACAGAGCCAGATTCTTACTGGGGCACAGCAGGAGAACAAGAGACAATGGACACAAGTTGCAGTATGGGAAATTCCTATTGGACAGAAAAGCTGTTCCCCTCCCAGGGTGGTTCACATGACACAGGTGCTGAAAGAGGCTAGGGAATCTGCATTTGTTGGAGGTGTTCAGAAAACACCTGGACAAGGCCCTGAGCAACCTGATCTAGCTTTGGAGTTAGCCCTGCTGTGAGCAGGGGAATAGAGACCTCCAGAGATCTTTTTTCCATCTAAATCTTTCCATGAGTCTCTTTGGACTGTACATTTCCCACTACTTGTAGACTGTCATGATTGTGCCCTGTTCATCCTTGCCCATTTGATATCCATTCAAGGCCAGGAGAAGATCTGTACCACAGTCCCAGGTGTCAAAATCTGCTGTTTAGGGGATACACCTGGGTCTCTGGCTGTTCCTGTAATATGCTGTGCTCCCTCTTTCCTCATGGATGGTGGTATAGGTACGTGGCAAGATGAGCAGCATTGATCTTGAGATTGACTCACTATCCTTAATGTTGGATGACATGGAGAAGAATGACCCCTTCAAATCCCGGGTGAGCTGCTCTCCAGAGTGTGTTGCAGGTTGAAGGAGAGGTGACTGGTAGCTGAACAGAGGTGTGAGAAGGGTTCTACTGAAGATTCAAATGTCTAGATAAACCATAATGAGAAGGCCTACCTGAAGGACTGGAAAGCATAGATCTTGCAACTTGTCAGAAATGCTAAATATGTACCAGTGTGGGGGCTCTTATCGTGGGTCTGGGATAGTTACTGGCTTACTGCTGTAGAGGGCATGTTTTCTTCCTCCTTGTTGATGACTGCCTGTTTCTTTCTGGTTTTTCCATTTACAGGTATCTCCAGGATCCACGGATTCTCTGGAAAAACCATCTGCCCCAAAAGGCCATGTGGAAATCTCATCTGCACCCAAAGATCCTCATTCCTTTCCTTCCAAGTTCACTCCAAAGCCAAGTGGAAACTTATTTTCCAAGCCCCTTGGAGTGGATGCGGTCCCTGCCCCAGCCCCATGGACAGCCCCACAGCAGCACAGAGAGCCCCCAGCACCAGTCCCTCCACCCCCCTCTCTCCCTCCTGCTCAGCCTGTCCCTAAATACACCCCACCTCCTGTTGCTGGCTCTCCTAAGTCTGGGTCCAAACCAGGTGCCAGCATTCCCATGGCTCCCTCAAACTCTACAAGATATCCTACCTCCCTTCAGACTCAGTTTACAGCCCCTCCACCTACAGGTCCCTCCTCACGGCCTCAGCCTCCCAGTTTCACCTATGCTCAGCAGTGGGAAAGACCCCAAGTACAAGAGAAGCCACGTCCTGCAGAACAGCCTGCTCCTGCAAAAGACACGGTAAGGGATAGAGCCACGGGTCCAGTGCCTTTGGACAAGCACAGCAACCCTGGGGGTGAGGTTGGAGGAGAGGGATGGAGGATCTGTCCCTGGCTAGGAGGAGGAGTTCCCCATCTGAAAGAGGGCACCTTGCATTACCTTTTTTGAGAGATGGGACTAGGCACAGTGGTGGAGGGGAATATAGCTTTATGTAAAGGTGGAAAGAAACAGGCATAGTGGATGGTAGATTCCCCCCTAAAGAGAGGAGGTATAAAGGAGATACAAATAGGTTTATTAGGAGTAGGAGGGGGCCTGTCCTTACTTGTCCTTTGGGACTGAAAGTCTATTCTACCTGCAGCGTAGACCCACAGGCTCCAATGCAGATCCCCCTAGGGGAAACTCTTCTCTGACCATGAAGGAGGTAGAAGAGCTGGAGATGTTGACTCAAAAACTAATGAAGGATATGGAGCACCCACCTCCAACAGAAGCCACTACTTCTGGTATGTTCCCTCAGTGGACAGCAGCAGGACCAAGACTGTGGTGGGTTTTCTTCTCTCTTATCCCTCTCTCCTTCCACTGGCAGAGCTCTGTGGCTTCTGCCGGAAGCCCCTATCACGAACCCAGCCAGCTGTGAGAGCCCTGGACTGCCTTTTCCATGTGGAGTGCTTCACCTGCTTCAAATGTGAGAAGCAGCTGCAGGGGCAACAGTTCTACAATGTGGATGAGAAGCCCTTCTGTGAAGACTGCTATGCTGTGAGTGACTGGGACAAGGGCTGTTGGAGAGAGCTGAGCTCAATGTGCCTGATATCTCTTGTTTTCCTTTCCACCTTTCATTTCACCTGTCTGTGGTGTAGTATCCTGAGGGTAGGAGATTGGATTAATGTGTCTTACTTGTTTCCTTTGGGCCCAGGGGACCTTGGAAAAGTGCAGTGTCTGCAAGCAGACTATCACAGACCGTATGCTGAAGGCTACCGGTAACTCATACCATCCTCAGTGCTTCACCTGTGTGATGTGCCACACCCCTCTCGAGGGGGCCTCTTTTATTGTGGACCAGGCCAACCAGCCTCACTGTGTGGATGACTACCACAGGTATGGAGAGAGCCCATGCATGAGGTGTCTGAGAGGGTTGATTTTTCTCAGACCTGTTTAATTTTGCTGCAAAAATAGTTTACTTGGGCTGGGTTGTCCTGGTGATCAAGGACATCAAGTTGAAAATGAAGCAGCGCTATGTCCTTGTAGCAAAGAAGGTTAACCATATATTGGGCTGTATTAGTAAAGTCTTCAGGGTGAGGGAAGTGATTATTGCCCTCTGTTCAGTACTAGTGAGGCTGCATCTGGTGAAGCCATACAGTACAAGTGAGATGTGACCTGCAGTGAGTCTACCAAAGGCTACAGAGATCATTGAGGGCTGGAGCACTTGATGTACTAGAAGAGGTTGAAGGAGCTGAGTTTGTTCAGCCCACAGAAGAGCGTGCTGAAGTGGGGCTCTTAATTGTTATCTTCAGCCACTGAGTAGTGGGACTGTAAAGAAGATGGAGCCAGACTCCTTCATAGGAGTACAGGAGGACAAGAGGCAACAGACACAAGTTGCAAAGGAAATTCTTACTGAACATAAAGAAAAACATCTCCCCCTTAAGGTGGTTCAGCATTGGTGCAGGTGCCAGGAGACTGCAGCCTTGGGGATGTTCAGAAATCACCTGGACGAGGCTCTGAGCAACCTGATCTAGCTCTGGAGTTTGCCCTGCTGGGGGCAGGAGGTTGGACCAGAGACCTCAGAGGTCTTTTCCCACCTAAATCTTTCTGTAACTTATTCTTCTGCTGCTGCTAGTCCTTTTATGTCAGAGTGAGAAACCTGCATTGAATGCCACCACTGTGGTCATGGTCTCTGCATTTGTGTGTTGCAGGAAATATGCTCCACGCTGTTCAGTCTGTAGCGAACCTATTATGCCAGAGCCTGGAAAGGATGAAACAGTGCGTGTGGTGGCACTAGAGAAAAATTTCCACATGAAATGTTACAAGTGTGAGGTAATCCTGGCCCCCCTCCTCCCTTCTCTCTCATCCTACCCCCTCAGTCCCCAACATCACCAACTGGGCACTTTTGATCTTGTCTACCCTGACTCTGGTCCCTTTTACCTAGGAATGATTTGAAGCAGGTTCAGAAAAGGATTGGCTGTTCACAGACCCTGGGGTCCATGATCAAGGACTATGCAGGGTTATAGCCTCTAACATCCCTAATACGGCAATTTTTTATATAGGGGGAGCATGAAGGGAACAGATCACAAAAGGGGCTGTGTGCTCACATGCTCTCCCAAAACAGTGTCTTCCATTAGTACCATCAGAGAGAGAACCCTGGGCTATGTGGGCCATTGGCCTGGCATTTCTTACATCCTTGACCACATTTACCCTACTGTTGGCTGTCATTGAGCTCTGTGTTTGTCTCTTTCTTCCCCCTTTAGGACTGTGGGAGGCCCTTATCCATTGAGGCAGATGAGAATGGCTGCTTTCCGCTGGATGGGCACGTACTGTGTATGAAGTGTCACACGGCTCGTGCCAAAACAGCACGCTGAGGAGCTTGGAGTGGGCGTACCAGTTAGATCCCTACACCCCATACTCTTCCCTTCCCCACCACTGTCCTGCCCTTCCGCCTGGCAAGGCAGATCCCTACCTTTCGGAGAGCCTGTCAGCACAGTTCTTTCCTCATGTAGGATTCACCACTCCTAGACTTCACTCTGCGCACCTGCCAAGGAAGCACCCTTTCTCCAGTCACCGTGTCCCTGGCCACAGTGTATTCCAGGCTGGGGACTGTGAGTGAGGTGGGCAAAAGACCTCTCTCTTCCTTTAACGTTCTTGGAGCAACAGCTCTTGACTAAGACCAGCTCTCCACCACCATCTGGTGGAAGTAGAAAGAATGACCTGATGGCAGGTGCTGGACAGGGCTGGGCATTCTTCTACTCCATGGAGCCAAGACTGGTTATTAGACATTAGAAGGTGGAAGCCTCTGTCTCAGCGCTGCTTCTGTCTTTTGCTTTTCTTTTTTCTTGTACCACCTCATTATCAGGATGCCTTTTCTTTTTTTGGTGTGATTTTTTTTTTGTTTTGTTTTGTTTTTCTTCCCTGTTCAAAGTGTGGAGGCAGAGCATACTAGGAATCTCTGTTCTAGTTGTGTGAAAAAGCTAGCCTCCTCTAGCCAGGCTGGACGCTAGAGTAGAAAACCAGTCCAAAGAATGTGTATGTTTACAAATAAAGACTGTCAAAAGAGCTGGCAGCATGTGCTAAGGAGGTGCCTCAATATGTTGGTGAGAAATCACCAGACTGAGGAATGCCTCCCCTTTCCAATGGGGGGATGTTTTCACTGCTGTCGGTGAAAGCCCCAATGTAACAACGTACTTGTCTGGCTCCGCTTCTTACTCTACTGAGCCCTATTTCCTGGGTTAGAACCTCTCAAGCTGAACAAACTTTCTGGATAACTATATTGTCCAGTCACTGTTTTGCATATAATAAAATGTGGGTGTGGGGTTTTTTGTTGTTGGTTTTTTCATTAATGTCTCTGCTCTATATTTGTTCAATTGCTCATGAGAACTATTAGTTTAGGTAGTAGAAAATGTATACTTGCTATTTCACTAAGCCTCCAGGGCTATTATGAATCGGAAAATGGCCTTTCTCTCTCCACCTCTTAGTCTCCTTTCAAGTTGTTTAGTTTCCTACTTAACTTCCTGTGCCTGGAGAGTAGCTTTCCTAAGTTAAATAAATGGAAGACTGCATTTCAGTACAGCAAGACTGTAGTCTGCTTGGTGTGTTACTGGGAGATGGGTTATTACAGTCCAGTTGTGCTAGACTGGAACCAAGTGGTCGGGGTACCAATTTTTGCTTGTTTTGCCTTAACTATTGCTACTCAGACAGAAAGTTTGTGCTTGATGTTTACTCGGTCTTAATGGTTTTTAAGTGTGGCATTGTCTCCATAACTGCATGTGAAATGTGTCATTGAAGTGTAGGAACATTGAAGCTTACCACACAGACATTACTGTACCCTACTCTTGTTCTCTTGCCAGCTTTTGAGAAGTCTTTAACGACTGCAAATTTAGCCAGTAAATGCCTGGAAATTCCCCATAGGATGAGCAAGCAATAAATGAATTTGTGTATTTACTTTCATTTTAATTTCTTCCCTGAGTTCTTGCTGGTTCCTAGGTATCGTTTCCCAGAATGGTTGATGTTAGGTTATGTGGTTAGAGGCTGGCACCTACAGCCACAAAAGTGCACAGAAAAACAATGAGAGCTGGGAGGAGAAGCACCCTGACCCACCTCCTCCCAGCACTATTGCAGGAGTACTATCAGCCCCATTACCTGCCTGTGAAACCCATCAGGCTTAGTCAATGGGAGAGGCTCTCTGAATCGCCTTGCAGTTACTGCCCACGTGAGTATGGAACTGCTTATGGGAGGCAGGGAAAGATCGTTTGGGGATTGTACAACACTTAGGGCTTGTGTAGGGGAAGGACCAAAGGCAGGAAAAGGGAATCCTCAAGGAGACGAAGCAGCATAGGAAAACAAAGGGAGAAAAGGGGCTAAAAAGGGGCTAGCTGGAAGTAAGTAGCTTGCTGGTCGGTATGCTTGTCAGGCTATGCCTTGCATCTGGTCAGTGCTGTCTGTCTTGTCTCTCTTATTAAAATCCATTTCTAGCTACTTCCCTGGGTGGGACGCTAGTCTGTGTGTGTGTATGGAGGTCTAAGTGCCAGGAACTGGAGTAGGGGCCACAGGTCATGCGGCCCTTGGGTCTGGGATGCCAGCAACTGGAAAGACAGTGTGTATACTGTGTGGTTGCGTAAGTCGGTGCACAATTGCTAGCGAACATCAAAGCACAGTAGCTGGCGAATAGGATAAGAGGCTTGGGAGCTGTGTACTGGAGGGGCCATAAGTCTAGGCCAGATGCTGGGAAGGCCAGACAGTCTGAGTCAACTGCTGGAGAGACCAAGAGATCCAAGCCAGCTACCCTGGGGCCTGGAGTCTGGCTACTGGTAAGGTCACAAGTCTGTACTAGCTACCAGAGAGACCAGTTTGCATCTATGTGTGTGTGTCTGTGCATGAGGAACTAGGAGTCCAGGGGACCACAGGGCCAGTTACAGGGTAGACTAAATGACTAAGACCAATTACTGGATGGATGCATGCAGGCATGTGTGTGTGTGCACACGCATGTGCATGAGGGGATCTGAGCACCAGCCACTGGAGTGGAGCTGTAGGCCTCAAGGGTTCATATGTCTAGGTGCTAGCAATTGGGTAGACCAAGGGGTTCCAGGTTCCAGCTACCGGATAAACTGAGTGGCTAAGACCACCTTCTTGGAGGGATCCATATTGTACATATGTATATATTTTCCACTAACAGTTTTTCATCCTGATCAGCTGGAGAAGGGAACAGGTTTCAGACTATTTGCACTGCCTGTATCTGCATGAATGCTGTGTTTTCTGTCTGTGTGGCCAGCTATGTGTGTGTATATATGTGTAAGTATATAAATATATGAGGGTGTACATATGTGCCCACTGGGAATACGTGCTCAGGCTTGCTACTGGCTGGATCTGAAGGCATGGATCTGGGCAGGTTCATCTGTATCAGCTATGAATTCAGCAGCTCCTAACAGTCAAAATTAGAAGGGACCTCTGATGATCTTTCAGTTCAATGCCCCTGCTCAGAGCAGGTACAATCAGAACAGGTTGCTCAGGGCTGTGCCTAGTCACCTTTGAGCATCTCAAAGGACAGAATCGCTGCAACCTCGCTGGGCAACTTGTTCCAGTATTCAACTGCCCTCACAGTAAAATGTTTTTTTCTTATGTTTAAAAGAAATTTCTTGTACTTCATTTTGCACCCATTGCCTCTTTTCCTTTCATGGGATACCACCAAGAAGAGTCTGTCTCTGTCTTCTTCACTCCCTCCTATCAGGTGTTGTATATGGTGGTAAGACTTTCCTCCTTAACCTTCTCAACACTAAACAATCCCACTTCTCTCAGCCTCTCCTTGTTTGGCACATACCACTCCTTGGTATGTGCTCCAGCCCCTTAATCCTCTTAGTGGCCTTTTGCTCAATTAACTCCACTGAATGCATGTCTCTCTCTTATACTGGGGAGCCCAGAACTGGACACAGCGTTCCAGGTGCTGAGTCTCACCAGTGCTGAATAGAGGGGAAGAATCACCTCCTTCAACCTGCTGGAGATGCTTTTTCTAATGCAGCTCGGAATGCTGTTGGCCTTCTTCACTGCAAGGGTGCATTGCTGGCTCGTGTTCAAGTTGTTGTCCACCAGGACCTGTAGGTCCTCTTCTGCAGAGTTGCTTCCCAGCCAGTCAGCCCACAGAATGCACTTGTGCATGGAGTTATTCCTCCCCAAGTGCAAGGCTTTGCATTTCCTTTGCATTTTCTCCATGAGATTCCTGTCTGCCCTTTTCTCCATCTGTTGAGGTCCCTCTGAAAGGCAAAGCAGCCCTCTGGTGTAACAACAACAACTCCCAATATTGTATCATCTGCAAGGCTAGGCCAAAGTTTACCTATGTGAGAGGCACGTTTGTATCTTGCATCAGCTCCATTGGAGCTTGTCTTCTTGCCTTGGTATCTCCCATGCAGCAACTTTGTTATCTATACTTCATGTTCAAGACCCCTATTAGCAAGATTGGACTTACTGATACACTAACAAGACTTATAAGAGCTAATCTTGTCAGCTGTGTCTCTTAGTAATAGTTGCAGTAACTTGAGTAGCTGAGCTAGAGCATGTAGCTCGTGGTTCCTTGTGTATGCCCTTCTGCTTCTCCAGGTGAACAGAAAACACCCCTCTTGCTTTAAGTTACTTCTTTGCTGCTTATCCTTTCTGAGTAAGCAAGATCTTCCCAGGAGCAGGAGTGTTAATTTATGCCCTTAAGACTTTGGATTATTATACAGTCATGAAAACACTGATAGGTATCTACAGCAACTGACTGCTGAATGACTAACACTGTGATGCACTCACCCTCTTCACCAGCCTAGACTTAGCTCAAGTGCTGAAAAATGATTCTTGAGGTGAGTGCAGCTGACTTTCCCTAGGTCAGATATGAACACTCAGTTTGTTTTTTGAGGAAGTCTTAGGAACAGCAGAGAAATAATTTTTTCCCTTCCTTTTGAATAGTCTCTTCTGCAGCAGCTGGAAATACTGCTTGCATGTATTTCATTGAACTACAGGAGCTAGCGCCTAATACTTATCACTGTTTAGGGATAAATACAGGTGCTATACAAAGATGGCCTTGGCTAATGGATGGCTAGAGCTGTAATTGAGTTTTTAAAAAAAAAAAAAAAAACCCTAAAGTGATCAGCCATACATACATCCTTTGGTCCTATTGCAACTCGCATTTGCACAGTAAAACTGCAGTTAAAATGGCTGTCAGACATAAGCTTGGCTGAACCACCTCAACGTCGATGTAAGCACCCGACTAGAGCTTGTTATGTATATACTAAAGCAAAGTTCCCAGTAGTACTTGAGGTAAGCTGAAGAACTCTAACACAGCTTGCTCTGCCACGAGTTTATTTACAAAATATTATTTACAGTTTATAGCACCTCTGTCTTGAACTCTGATAAATAATATTTCCTCCACAGAGAAGGAATAAGACAGACCACCTAAGTACCTGTTAAAAACACCCTATCCAGCCAAACAAGGCTATTCCCTCTTTTAAAAAGGGGCAGAGAAAAATGGGTACTTAAAGGGTGTTGCATTACATGGCACAAGTAAAGGTATTAAGCAGGATGGAGAGATGCAAATCTCTCTGCTGAAGTGTGCATGTGCAAGACAGCAACATGCTGAGGTTACATGATTACTTGCGTTACAGCAGGGTGTGCTGCTCCTTCCTGTCTTCTCCTCTTCTCCAGGAAAAAAAAAAAAAAAGTACACCATGACTTGATGGTGTTTAAGGCAATAATAACTGAATTAAAAAATATATATCCATTATCAGTAGCCTTGTGGAAGACTATGTTATTCCCATTGTGGAATAAGGAAGATAGAAGGCTGCTGAAATGAGGAAGAAAGGATGCCCTAGCATCCATTCACTCCCTAGAGTGAATGGGCCCAATCTCTACATGTCTGTGTCCTTGTGCATATTCCCTGAAAGCCCACTCTATCTGAAGCCTCATCTCCAGTCTTAAAACATTTTTCTCTTTAATTGTTTATATCTTTATGTTTCTGTGTGATTCACTGAAGGCCTGAAACTCCAGTATGTGGACTACAGGGATCATTTAGTGCTACACACACCAGATTATAGAAGACAGGCCTGGAAACAGATTCTAAAACCAGTGCCCTGAAAAAGTACTGATGGCTGCTGAAGCAAGGAGAACAGAAATGAGAGCAGGTGGTGTTGTCTCAGGAGTCTTTTCAGTCCTAGTTGTTTTGCTTTGCTTGTTTCAGTCACTCATTTGGAAGCAATTGCCATAGGAATGATTCCAAGTGATATCTGGTAGAACTGGGCATTTGTCAAGTTTAAGAGAGCAATGATGGATCACTCTTTAAAGCCTTGTATACTACAAAGGATCCTCTTCTGGTGGCCTGGAAGTGACACTCCCATCTGTTTCAAGTCCCTGAAGGAAATAGAGAAAGAAAGAAGAAAGAAAGAAAAAAGGAATTGCTGTTCTTGTTTCTCGGGACTGGAACGTGGGGAAGGATAGAAACAGTTATCAAGCATTAATTCAGATAGCTTCCTTCCCCTCAGTGCCTGCTGCCTCCTACTGCTTCCTACATTTTCCCTGAAGTGAAGAAACCTCCACTTGTTCCTCCACTTCCTTAAAGAATGGCTGTCTTTCTGGACCCAGTCAGCTGGTTTCTCCCACCTCTGAAGCTAAGGCTATGCTCTCAGTGAATTAGAATTGCATCCAGTTCAGCTTGTGATACAGGCCACATCTCAATCCTTTGGCAGTGTCATCCCCTAAGCTGTGCCTGCTCACTTGTTTTATGTGGCTGCCCTGGTTGGAGCTGGCCATACATCCCCGACCCTGCAACACGATAAGGGCTGCATTGATAAATATCTGGCTTGAGTCCTTCTCAAGGAGTCCAGAAGGACTGGACTGTAGGATGGAACAGTGCCTGGCTGATGTGGGTGAATGTCATTAGTCCATTTGGAGTTCAGGGGAAGAGGTTTCCTCTTTACAAA